TTTCTTAACTGCATAACATGCTGCTCTTTCAGGTCAGCAAGTGGAATTTATTTAGAAGGAAACATAATGTTAATGAAAATTATATGTGTGCAGATACAAAGAGAGGAACAAAACTGTAAAAGGCCTGCACAGATCACAGCTATGCTGTTCCAAATTCCTTGATTTTCCAGATTTTTCCCCATACCATGCTTAGAGAGTTAAATGGTTTTGAGGTATTCTATCTCAAGCACTTAAAGTTCCCCAAAACTCAGCAACAACAGAGGAAGCACTGGTTGTTCACAAATTCAAACGCAAGTCTCTAATACTGTGACGTCACACCTTTAACACACAACAATTTCAAAGGGAGAAATATGAGCATAGAAGAACTTTAAAATCCTTGTCCTGCGGAAGTCAACTGTAGCAGATTTAAAAGGCACTTACATCTCTATCCAGATTATTGATCAGTACTCAGCAAAAGGAAACGGTGACCTTTTGAATCATACCTGTAATTAATTAACTACTATGTCAATGCCATTTCCAAAAACATGCACTATGTTCACATGTTAGATGTAATAAACAGGATTACTCATTCTTTAAACACTATAAGGAAAAGACAGCTATTTTCATGACACATTTGTGAAGGTAACTAAAGTCCTGCTACTTTGAAAACAAAGGATTTTAGAAAATTATTAAATTAGTTTATATTACACTCAAGACTTTTACTGGTAAAAGTATTCCCACTGATTCTAAAGTAATAGCGAATCATACTGCTGTTATTTTATGCAATGGTATTCAAAACAAGAAAGATGCAAAAGAGGATTTAATCCTCAATTATTTGTGTGGATTAACACTTTCTTGCATCAGAGAAAGAAAGCTTACATTGCTCAAAGAATAGAAGCCCTTCGCTTGCATGAGGGAACTTAAGTACTCAGGGGTGTTGTTGAAGTGTTTGATGCAAAGAAGGTATGAACAGTGATCTCAGTAGAACCAAAGGCCCATATGGAAAAATCTGGGATTTAAACAGCGGGCTTCAAGATGAAAAACAACTCTGAAAGGCAGCTGTGCCATTCTAAATAACTCTTTGTAATAGTTTTTCCCTTTTCCCTAAACATTTGTGGAGGAAAAAACAGCACAAAAAAAGAAATTATCAAAGATCTAGATTCCAAACTCCTACATGGCAGACTGAACTCTTTTTAGAGCCATGAAGCAGAGACTAAAAACACAGAGGCTAATTTCTGTAATATCTGTGTGAACCCAAGTACAGTATTTCAAAGATAAATTCATGCTGATTCACAAAGTAGGAAAATGTTGTTATTATTTCTACTCACTGAAATCACAATTAAAATTGTATTTTTTATGCATTTAAAGGACATGCCTTTCACAATGACATAACAAGCTTTCCTTTGTTAGGTAATTAAATGCTTTGTAGAAAAGTAGAGCAATTTGGATTTTCTGGCTACTTGAAGTACTCCTTTAAAATCGTGTGAGCATAGCTGCCTACTCCTAGCACTTGTAATAGCTTTAAATGCAGATTTCAGAATTCCGATAACATTGTAAGTAGTGCTTGTGGTGCAAACTCCCCACAAATACTGATGTGTTCTTTTTTTCTTTAAGAAGAAAAGAAAAACAACACTGTTACTAGTAGGATTGGTTCAATCTTCTAAGTTTAAGGAGTGACAATCCAAAGAAACCCTGAATTGTAATATGGATGATTTAACCTTTCATCCTTCAGATATAAATCAGGTGTGTTAGAGACAGTGAGAAATTCTGATCCATTAAGATCAACAGGTCTTGAATACTTTTGATCAAGTTTTAGGATCCATAAAGGTCCCACATGTGTTGTAACACTTCCGATTCTCATTGAAACAGTCAGGCAAGACTATCAATAAATCAATCTTGTTACGAATCGGTTTCATTCTTCCCAATTAGCTTTTAAACACTAATTATAGGCAGCTGATACTCACAAATACCACTATGACTTTCCCTTCTTTATATGAACCATTGGATAAAACTCAGCAAGTGAAAAGCTTAGACTGCCCTCTCTCTATGGCTTCTTGCTAACTACTTGATTTGTAAATTGAACAGAATTATGGCCACAATGGAATTCACAATTGCAGGTATTAATCAGCATTTTCTCATATAGTTATGAAAAATCCCTGTCTTCAAATCACTAATATTGTACACTTCCATAAAGTTCTAGATGACCAAACTATACTTCGTTGCTGAAATAAGACAATAGAATTTGGTTATATAATTTAGTATCACTAGTATTCCCTCTGATTTGAGGCCTTTAACTTGCATGTGCTGTCAGCAGAATGCACAAGCCATCCTTGCACGTGAACACATTAATAAGCAAATTAAAAGCATCACTATGTTTAGTGTAGTCTCAATTTTATTTTCTGATGGGAGAAAAATGGCCATGGGAACATTATTTTGAATTGGAATATTTTTTCGTATATTTCAAGTTTAAGTAATGTAATATTTGAAAGATTCAAGCAAGACTTAGGTGACATTAAGGAATAATGGTTCAGTTGTTTGGCTATTTTATTCTTTAAAATATACACACCACTAATGCCATAGTCATAAAAATCTTAAACCTTCATATACAACTGCCTTTTTTATAAACTTGAAGTAGATTTTACTAAAAAAATTCTACTGCCTAACACTGAAAAGAATAAGACTTACAACTCATACATTCCAGCTATCCTTGTAGCAAATAAATTAGGTAGAAATCATCATTTTAAACCGTACCATCAGCAGGTAGTCTACACAGAGGTTTACAGGCAAAAAGGAACACTGAAAAAGCATCTGAAAAGCAAAAGCCGGTGCGATGATGTTCGTTTGCTGCCCCCTTCTGGGGAAAAACAAAACGAACAAAAAAAGCACCACAAGACAGCCAGAAAAAGAACTGCTCCCTGTGTACCATTACCTACACCTCTCGGTAATTAAACTGTATGACAGCAGATCTTTTCCAGTTTAAAGGCTTTTTGTTTTAAAGTGTAAATTTAGACACTAAGATATCTTTCCCACGTAAGTCTGTTAAGTCTAGGCGTAATGAGAGACTATTCTGGGAAGAAGAGAAAACGAGGCTACTTGCTTTGGCATTCTGGAGCTCTGTGTAGCAGCACAAAGTGTGCACCCAGAGTGGCAGGCAGCAGAGCAGCGTTACCTTTCTGCCGTTCTGCCATCAGTTATTCAGTGTAAGCTGCAGGACACAACACTGAACCCGCTGCAATTCACAACAGACTCTGTTCTGCCACTCCTGCCACAGGGCCAGGGCCTTCAGTGGAAAGAATAAAGAGACAGCCACAGGCTGGTAATACGGCTAATTGCTAGTTTCATTAGTCAGCCCTTCAAAGAGGCTGTAAGAAAGAAACAGAGTTAACATGAGGTTTGCTTTGCTGTACAGATAGCACAGCAGAACTCAATTCAGAACTAGGCATGAAGAGTTCAAGTACGTTCATAATCTGTGCAGTAATTACAAGCCCTGCTCTAGGGAGAGCTCCAGAGACCCAGCTCATAAATGCTCTTCTTACTTCCAAAACAGACCTAATGCGTTCATCAGATAACAACACATTTCATATGTAACCTCAGACTAGATTTGGATTGTCATATTCCACTGGTTCAAAAATAACTGTTGTAATGCTGTAATGATGTTAAGTGCTTAAGCTTATACTTCTCCAACTTACTTAAAACCGAGACAAGTTATTTCAAAATACCTCACTGTGAATATGGGAGCAACTTGTCTACCTGCTTTGTGAATTTAATGACTGAACTGTGCTTTGACTATGACAAGGCTTGTTAAGTGACTATTTAATTTTAAAAAATTAAATAAATGAAGACACATGGTTCCCAAGTGAAAGTTATATCATCAGTATATGGGTTTACTCCCTACCTCCTAGCAAAGCTGCTAGTTCACTCCAAGTAATATGGCCTTTGACCATCCAAACCTAAATTCCTTTTTTTTTTTTTCTTTCTTTTTGTTACACAAATTTCAGCAAGCTACTAAAACGTGTATTTATTTCTTTCCATGTGTGCAGTAATTTCAAACCAGGAAATCCAGATTTGGTACAGACAATTACTTCAGTTGCAGAAAACAGTGGGGTAAAGAAGCTATTTGGGGGGGAAACTTCGATAATTTGAATTCAACTTAAAAAGCCAGAAAGTGATTAATTAAACTGAAGGCATCTATTGTGAAAATGTTTTCTAATCATGTAACAGACGTAAACCCACAAATGAACACAACCAAAAAAAAGAACATTCCCAAAATCAAAATCACAAATTTAGAAGAAACCTAGAGAAACAGAATGTACACTAACTTTTCTACCTACATACTAGAAAAGCTATCATTAGAATATTGCATCGTGTCAATTTATGGATGGGTGGCTCCCAGAGATCTGGTATCTTCTTTATCAAATAAAAAAAAAGATTTTTTTCTGAGTAACAGGAAATCATCAAATGCATTCTCAAGTTCTCTTTGGAAGAGAGGAGGCACTTGAGGTCAGACAAAGTTATAGCGTGAACTCTTAGAACTGCAGATAAGCAGAATTTTGTATTAGCTGATAAAATTGGTGCTTCAATAAATACGCCTCTTAGGAACGCAGCCAGGATGGCAAAGAAAGCCAGCTGTACATTGTCACTTCTTTTCATCTAGTTTATGCACAGAATTCTAAGAAGTCTCACAGCATATTCCTGGCTCTTCAAAGAGCACACCTCAATGGCTCTCCTTTATTATTGCTTCTAAGAAAATGTAAGAGAAAACCTCTAGAAACATCTTCTCATCTGCCCCTGCTTACTTTATTCAAAAGGCTGGTGCTATCACAAACCAAGCAGAAGACAGCTATTTGAACAGGGTACCTTATTTTTGTTCAGGTTACCTGTGGGCAACTTTCTTGTAAAAATAAGTAAGTAAAATAAACAACTGTGCCACATTATCAACTGTTCTGCAATGAAGACTTACATGATTATTTGGAGCATAACAAACAAAATGCAAGTTTTACTATAATATGGGTCATACCTACCGGAGGTACTACATGCATATTAACTTGAGTCCTTCTTTCTCACTGCTTTTGTGTTGGAGCACACTAAATTATCGTCAGCCTTCTTTCTTCTCAATCATTTGTTTGTTTGGGGTTTTTTGATGGATTTGTTTGTGATGTCCATTCATCTGATGTCTGGTTCAAAAACGGGTACTTCATCCCAAGATGGAGACAGAGGGGCTGTAGTAGTTTTGTCATTTTCCATACACTCCTTCAACTCTGCCCTAGATTGCCAATTAAGAAATAAGATAAGTAAACTAATTCAAAAAGAAACCCAAAATACAGCATCAACCAATATTTTGCATTACCATCAGTGACTGAAAAGACTTGAAAATTTGAGATAAGATACTTTCAGGTGAAAGAGAGTTGTAGAGGGACTTCCGAGATAGTTGACTGTATTGTGAGGGTTATGCTAACAGCAGAAAAAAACCCCCACCTTGTCAATCATTCTGTGTTATGTTTGTGAAACACACATACAAAATGAAAAAAGAACAGCTTCCAAAAAAACCTAAACAAGCCATTTGTTTGGGTTTGGGATTTTTGTTTGGTTTGGGGTGTTGGTTTTTTCTGGGGTGGAAGTGTGTGTTTGGGTTTGGTTTTTTGTTTGTGTTGTTTGGGGTTTTTTTTAACTGTTAGGCCAAATTAGATCCAAGTTGTTAAATATAGGTAACGTTGAGAAAAGAACTATTCTATTTTACTTTTGCACATATTGTAAATATAATAAGCAGATGACTTACAGCAATGGTTAACTGCCATTCACACCCACCCTAGAAGCACAGATTATCAACCTTGGATGTATGCTTTTAGTACAAAATTGCCATAGTGCTGCTCAGCACAAAGAGAAAACCAAAGTGAAATAAGCACAAACTACGCTGACACACTTGCCACCACAATAAATATCCCTGTTTTTTAAAAAGTGACAAGGCAGGAAAGAAATTCCTGAAAATCACTTTACCTGAATCCCTTGGGTTTACCAAATTACAATGCATTTATCATACAAAAGCTTCATCTAGCAATGCACATTTTAAACAGTTGCCTTTTCTAAGTTTCCTCAGCTAAACTTCCAATGTAGAAGATTATACATGTAGATAAAGAACAAGCAATATATTTATATAATGTAACTATTACATTGCAAGGCAGTGATTTGGTTTTGTTAGGAATATCCAAATATTAAGTTCCTTTTCTTATACTGTTGTTAAAATAGCATAAAATTCTAATCACATTACTAAGACTAATATCAAGACCAGTGAAATGACAGCCATTTCCAACCTAAAATATAAGCTTAAAAAATACAGTGCTGCATACACTTTTAAATATATAGCACATTCTATAAGACTAGGGAAAAAAAATTAAATAAGCCCATTAGAAGATTGAGAAGATTGCCAGTGTTCATTTCAGAGCAAGGGGAATACTTCCATCTACAGAAAATATCATCTGGCACAGAATCACTTAATTTGATGGAATCTTTTTGGTCCTGACATAGTTTGCATATTACTGCTTTTGTACAAGTTAATTATTTTAGCAACAAAGTACCAAAAATTCTCTTTTTGCCCCCCTCCCCCAACCTACTAACAAGATATGAAAGATGTCACTTTTTATGTAAATGATTCAATCTCAAAACAGTTGCACTAACTCTGAAGGTGACTTGTAAAATCCATCAATTTAAGCAGTATGTGAAGCAGTATGTATTGAATGTTCCCCCTCAAGGGTTTGTTAATGTAAGAGATTTCAGCACACTACTGTTTACAGGAAGAAAAAAAAATGAAATTTTTTCCTCATCCAGTGTCATCAAGCCTTATTTATTAAATTTCCAATTCCTTTTAACTTGACGGTACAGCAAGTATCTAATTACAAACCCTGCTGGGTTATGGAGCCTCTAGTGACTGAGGGAGAAAGGAGGACAAATTGCCAATTTCAGGACCACTTACAGATTAAAAAAAATTGTAAATATCATAGCTTTTTTGAGATAGTATATTCAAGACAGCATTATGAATAAACAAACACTCACCTGACCCTACATTTAGTGTACACCAGCTCCATGCTTCAGTGTGGTTTGATGGTCAATATATCATCACCAACATGGTTTATGTTAGGATGCCAGGATGGAGCTGAAGCCAGTGACCCTAGAGGGTCTAAATGTCACAGGACCTGAGGAAGAAATATGTGAATTTTTATACAACAATGTACTGTACAGTCTCATAGCCTAATAACTAGGAACATACAGCACATACCACTAAAGATGACAGCATTTTTTGTAAATTATTTTAGTATGTTAGGTAGATTCCCAACATACTTCCCACAACACAAAATAAATACTATATTAAAACACAAACAAAATCCCACCTCGTTAAGGTTGCTAAACCAAGGAACAGAAATTAGGAACTGCAAAATTAAAGTTGCCTTGGTAACCTTAATTTCATTGCTTTTTGTGTATATTCACTATGCCCACTAAACAGTAAGTCAAGGTTAATACTGCACCACCCATTCTACACTGAATTTTGGAAGGATCATGGGGCAGGGGGAGGAGGGGCAATAATCTGTATACAGACAAGTCAGGCAGCTGAAGATTTTGCAAGGGTACCTACCCACACAGATGACTGTTTGACTTTGCAGCCTTTACTGTGAGTTTTCTTCAATTTTTGTGGTTTATTAAAAACATGTTTAACATGTTTTAGGCTTTATTTTTTGAAATAAAATACCCAAGAAGTGAAAACATAAATTCCAGATTCCACAATAAGGAATTATATTTGGGCTGACTGGTGCTGCTGAAACCCTTAGATACTCCAGAAACCTCTGATGCTAGAACTAATTGTAATTTGAGAAATCACAGCAATAGCAAATAGGAGTGATTGTGGACCCTGTGTGAACATTAATGCTGGTTCACATATCTGAGACCCTAAATCCTCTCTGCCCACTTCAGGTCAACATCTTGCCCAGATTATTTCCAGTCTCTGAGACTCCCCACTATTTTATTCTCTGCTCCCTGTCCCAGTAGCAGTCTCCTAACATACCAAATTCTGCTTGAGTTCATCTGCTTATCTCAGCATGTCTTCTAGCAAATTCTCACGTTTTCCAGCCCCACTGCTCTTTAGTATCCAAGTTTTTTTTATATGCTCCCTATGAAAGAATTAAATAGATTAGCAGCCGGGTATCAAAGAAAACTAGCAAGTTTTCTTAATTCCTGTCCCTGCCTCCCTAAAACAGTCTGTCACAATTAGCTTCCTGCAGTAAGGCATCTTCACTATTCACTTTATTTTTCAGAGGCTGTAAAGAGGCCAAATCTCAACAGACTTTTCCATCAGGAGTGTGCCTTTCATTTATTCTAACAGAAGACACCATCTGAAAAACGCTTAGATCTTTCCTGCAAGCCATGCACTATTAGGGCTTTTTAAATAAAAGGTATCCATACTCTTACTGGTTCCACTTGAAAACATTATGAACAGAACGTTTTCCCCCATACAATTTCTAGAAAACTGGCTGAATCTTTTCAGTTGATTTGTTTTTAAAGGAAAAGTGTCAGTTAGAGGCAAAGAACCAACATAAAAAAATTTCAGCCAATATAGTTTAAACAAACAAACAAACAGGCAAGACAGGTGAGCAAGTGAAAACATTATCTTTTAAATAAACAGCAACACTGGTAACAAAGCAGAGTATCTGGAGTAATAAAAAAATGCAGTGCAGTTTTATAACACTAAATATGAAGCAAGCAGTTAAAGTATAAAATAAGTGAGAGATATGCAGGTATGTATCATAAATTCATTTAATCTATTTTCAGAAGAAGACGCCTTCTTTAACATAATCTTGGAGAAAACATTTTTATCAGCATGAAGAACTGCTGTTAGAGACATATAGCCTCTACCACTACTAAAAAATAAATTACAAAATCAAACTTGATGGTATAATAATGCACAGCTCCCACCTCTCCTTTCGTTCACGTTGCAAGAGACAAAGCTGGATAGAGCCCTTTGAAAGTTGCTTTAGGACTTAAGAGGTGTTGAAGTTAGCTGTAATTATTGCTCATTTGATGGAACTAAAATAAGTATATATTGATTGATAGGCTGCTATACATTTCCCCATCAGATTCACCCTGCTTCAGCTAACGAGATTATCCAAAGACAACAGTCAGAAATCAGAGACACAGGGAACACTCCACATAGCTCTGTTCTAACCACAAGTCTAGGCCTTTGTGGGTCAAGGTTTGAGGAACTGGAACTGCTAACAGTATGAACTGTCACAGGAGCTTTTGACATCATTAAACGTCAAAAAAGGAATCAGAAAGAGATAAAACTCTGTCAAAAAAGATCTAAATTGTAAATTGATCCTGGCTGACCACCATTCAGAGTATTACAGTTCTGCTGACACAAAGCTAAAGTCAGAAAAGCTTCAGAAATGAAGCATCCTTCAGCTTTGACGTTTTAAGCGGAATAGTATTACTTTCCCTCCCAAGTGAAGGGCCCAGTCTGAAAACAAACAAAAAACCAATAAACCAGTGAGGTAATACAGTGCCTTCCTTACACAAAGCAAGAATCTCTATCTATTGCAGAAGGAAATAAAGCTCTCAACAAGTAAGATGGAGCAAAACTGATGAAAGAAGATAAGCTTGCTGCTACTAACTTAAAGAAGAATTTTCTTTTAAACTAACAGACAAGTGGCTATCCAACCAAGCAATTACCGATTGCCAAATTAAGCCCATGAAAAACTCAAATCAACATCAAAGTATCCAAACCACAAGCACCTCATTATGTCCTGCATTCAGATTCCCTGCACTATGTGTTGCCATCTTCTTTTCTCCTCTATCTACTTAACAGCTGCTCAGCTGCAAGCTCAAGGCACCTGCTACATCCCACCAACGTCAACAGCCTTTGAAGATGGGGATCCCTGTTTCATAGAATGGTTAGAGTTGGAAGGGACCTTAAAGATCAACAAGTTCCAACCCCCCGTGCCATGGGCACTTCCAGGGAGGGGGCATCCACAACTTCTCTCTTTAGAGTCTTCAAACAAACTGTAAGTCCTTAATCCTCTTCCCCCTCTTCAAACCACAGCTTCAAACTAGCTTAATGAATTGTAAAGCCTTCTTCCACCAATTAAAACAGATTTACTTGTAGGTATACTTGCATTAAGCAAATATTTAGGACTGGGAAATTCACCTCTGCTCTGTAAAAGCAGACAGAAGTCAAACATTTAATCAGAAATCCAGTGCACGTTTATAGTATTTATAAAGCATTTATTCAACTTTCTTTTACTTTTTTTAACTCACAACAAGAAACAAACCACCACCTAAAAAAAAAAGAAAAAACAGGATAACAAGCAGTTCTGAAAGATTTCAAACCACAATTTAAAATGAGTTAGCAAAACATACACTTGCAGTGGAGCTATTTTGATGTGACTTATGGACCATATGAAAAATACTGAGGGAACAGATACTTCGGAAACATCAAAATAGCCAAGCTTCAAAGGATTATTTTTAGTGGTGACATGCAATATACTTTACTTGTCCGTTTTCTTCTAAGAGCATCTGCTGACAGTCTAAATTTGGTCTGGAGAAGGTATTGGTTGGAGGTTGCAGGTTTTGCACAGAGGACTCATGTTTAAGGGGAAATGCAATCAAGACCACTAACCATTTCCTGTAAAGGTTTTGATATAAAAATCACACAACTATGTAGCAACTTCTTCACTCTTTTTTAAGGCTTAAGATTCAAAGATCCAAAATGACCACAGGCAGCGTGATTAGTCTTTCAGGTCTTTTGCCTCTTTTTTCCCCATGAAGACGGTAAACTGTCACTAGACAACCTATACAGGTATCAACAACTGTTTTAATTTAGACAAGTAAACAAGGAATAACATAACATAATCACATACAAGAACCTTTCAGCACGACAAACTGATAGCTTTGTCCTAAATAAGAAATTAAGACTTAAGAATAAGCAATTAGTTACGCTTTTTTCCACTAACCAGTTAGGCTTTCACGTAGGCTAAAAGTTTTAACAGTTATAAAAGTTATACTACAGCAAATAATGTTAGCAATTACAGATAAAACTTGACACTAAATTAAACACAAATTTGGTGCTAAGAAACTCAAGTTAAAACTTATTTTCAAAAACTATCCGTATAGCAAGCAGGGAGGAGCATATATCCATTGCTTCAGCTCCACAAGCATATTAAATAGGCAGACAACAGTTCTTTGTAATGTTGTAGGGGATGTTTATGGAATATGTTTATGGAGTGGATGTTTATGGAGTATGTTTATTGGAATGAAACATTTGAAAAATACTAGCAAGCTGAAGACTTCTCACAACTTCTTTTATGTTTCATCTCCACCTCAGTGGAGCATAGTGTTAAAAGGATATTTACAAAGGCTTCCTTTGCTTACATTTATCACAAAAATGCAAACAATATTCAAAACAAATGTAAAATATTTACAATTCTATAATACTATCAAGAGCTTTAAAAGTTATTAAGTGTTTAACCAACTAAATTTTTCCACAGGAAGCTAAAATTAAGTAAACTTTCTGTATATTTTAGCATAGCAGTGAATGATAAGTTATAATCTTCAAAATTCATTGCCCCCAGACATGACAGAAATTTTCAAAAAAGTACCCCATAAAACCTAGTCCCAGGTTGTTTTCTCACTATAGTTGTAAGGGAGATAGGAAAATACCTGAAAAGTCTATCTCCCCTGACCCCCCTAAAAAAATAGGAAGGAAATTACTCATTCAAGAGACAACTTACAATTTGTCAATACAAAAAAGTTCTCCTTTCACTCAAGAAAACATTGTTTGCCTAAGCACTCAAATCTTTTCACTGTTGTAGTGAAATTTTTATTTTGAAATATCATGAATTTCAGCTGTCTTCTACGTGCTCTCCTTCCCAACCTCTTAGAAAAAAATATAGGACTGCAGCCTTGTAGGCAGCTTACAGTTACACACAATTAAGTGGAAACACCATATGTCATTGTGAAGCACAAAGATACTTTGCTTTTAGTTCTAAAAATAAGCCTTTGTTTAGTTACTTTTCCTGCAGGAATTCTGTAATAATGTTCTATCAATATTCTATCTCCTCTCCTTTTTTAACAGTAAAAGTGTCAGAACAACCCCACTTATCCCAAAGACGGCTTCAAAATTAGACTGCACAACACATATTTAATCTGAACACTTCAAAACCCACACTACAACACCGATGCAATACCCAGCCCGCCTACAATCACAAGAAGCTCTATTATTCCACATTCCCCAATACTCTTAACATTGCCTGTTTTCTTATCTGACCACTGCCACAAACTCCAGAGCAATCCTGTGACTCATCATCTTATTTCACATACAATACCTGGTTTTGCACTGACCTTACTAAGCAATCAGAACTAAACCAGTAGTTCACCCAAACAGCAAGAATTTGGTCTACATTAGCAGTAGCAGCCATAGAAACCTGGCTAAAATCAATCAACCACAGCAATCACCTGCAACAATTAATGGTTAAACAGAAAAATGACCAAACTACCATTGTACAGAAAAAACTTTTCAAGATTTTACCTACACACTTGAAGGTAAGCACTAAACACATACCCTTATTGAGAGCAAAACCACTTACAAGTAACAACAGAAACATTTGTACATTTTTCACTCCTTGCTTGAGGTACAATTAGAACAAAAGCAGTATCTGTAGTCAGTACAAAGGAGAACAGCACTAGAAAAACAGAATTACGTCCTTTTGTGATTTAAGAAATACTCTGCCAAGGTCCTCCCACCTATAAATGAAGAGAATATTCAGCTATGACCAGCGTAAGAAAACTTAGTGATAAAAGCACTACCTTTATAGTAACGTTAGAGAAACATAAAAAATCTAGTAATATTGAAATGACTAGAATATAACAATTAACTACTCCTAGGAGTACCCAGAACACACAACCTAAAACGAGACAGGACTTTACAGAATGAAGGAACATCACCGAAGGAACGAACACCTACAACGCTCCTCACGACCGCATTTACAGCTCGTGCGGAACCTCTCTTCCAAATTTTAAGTTGCCTAAATAGAGTTATGGCTCCGAAGAACTTTATAGCTGAGGTAAATTCCACAACAATAATAAAAAAAAAATTGAAAAATTAAAAAAAAAAAAAGACTTACTGATAAAAATCACCGTGCGGACGTTTAAAGATATCCAGGGAATAGACATGAAGATCTTTTCATACAGACGTCTTCACAGCCCTCTACGTGAAGACCTCTTGACGCCGGCAACCGCCCCCGGTGAGGAAAATGGCGGAACTTCCGGTCCGTTCCCCGCCCGGCGCGCGGGGTTCACTTCCGCCGGCGGCCGGC